TCTACTCTACTAGCTTTAAGAGTTATGCGTCCAAGGCGCACCTCAAGCGCCATTGTGCTCCATTCGAGGAGAGAGTAACTTTTTGTCCAAGTTGGTGGGTATCATTCATTTTTAGAGTTATAGACAACCAAGGGAGTGGTGGGAGGATAAGGTGAAAGAAAGGATGGCTCTGTATGTAATAGTGGGGAAGGAACTATAGCGGTTTGGGGGTGTGTATGATAAAATGTGCCGTCGACGTTGTCTGGGTGAGGCTGGGGATAATCCCAGGGACCATGCCCGTATTGAGTATATGCGGTCAAGTTGTTATAATCAAGATTATAAGATGACATGGCCGAAAGGGCAAGATACGTTTGACCTAAGATTTGACGGCTTTGGATGTTCATCTGTTTATATTGAAACTGAGGATCATGGGGCTGGTTTTTACTATGGAATATACTTTCGATCGTTTCAATATCAATTGTGTGAAGGTAAGAGGGGCAATAGAGATAGTAGCAATAGAATAAGAACCCCGCAAGCGCTCGTTGTATTGTCTATGCTCCGCTAATTTCGGCATATTGAAGCGAATCTAGTGCGCCATTTGATTCTCACAAGCTAAATGAATTGGACAGACGGTACGGTTATCTATTGGTTACTCGATTGCAACTTGAAAACCCACACATCGATGATCAATCACCTGGTTTTGTCATTCTCCAGTGTTCAGTGTACCGTTATACGGGGGCTATGTAAACTCTAGATCGATGAGCCCACCAATTGTTCTGATATACATGGTCTTTTGAGTTGTCATGCAGTCAATGAGGGAGAGGATAACCGATACTATTGCTCCTGAGAAATAACTATTCCCTTTATAAAGTATCCTGTGACCATACTCTATGAACAAGCCGGCGGTCAAGATTCAAGAGGCATAGAGGCGCTCGCGCTCGGGTGGTGGCGGCAATTGAACCAAGCCTGGTCTCTCTCGCCTCGTCACCTTTATTCAAGGTGGCGACCACTCGTCAAAATTCGATCACTTATCATATGGAGACAAATTGGGAGACTTGATACCGAGCATCACCACGTTGAACGTCGCCTTGCTTCCCTAGATTCTGACTCGAACAACGACTCTGGATCTACGACATCTATCATATTACACTTAGAACTCAAGAGCCTCAAGAATTTGGTGTTTCGATACATACGGGCATAATGGACAAGTAATTTACAGAATTAAACGAAGTAGATGGTCGGAGTAGAGAAAGCACTCTAAACACAACTCGGCGGATCGCATTTCGTCGAAGCTGCGAACCGATTTCTCAATTCTCACTGGTTGCACTTTCTTAGGTGCCTCGCAAAGTTTTGTTTGGATCGCATCTCGCCGCTGTCCGCACATACTATCAAGCGTCATTGCGCTCCATTCGAGGAGCGAGTGAGATTTTGTCCAACTTGGTATGTATTTGTTCACTTTTGAAAGTCATAAATGGC